GCGATCTCGCCACCCTCCAACCTCTGCCCTGCGTGGCCTCACTCTATATTTCTCTCCAACTGTCTCCCCGCTCTTCCGGTTTCTCCCCCTTAAGACTTGATCCCTCTCTCCCTCGTGACCTAACTCCTCCCCCCGTGACGTCACATCCGCGAGGCCGTTTACGTCCGCATTACAGGAGGGAGGCTGTACCTCCCTTAGGCTATTGGGTTGAAGGGGCCGGACCCCTTTGTGTTACAGTCGCTGTTTGTAGAGTTGTTGAAATAAACGTGTTGCCTCCAGAAGCCGTCTCCGTTTAGTTAGTTAGACACACAACATTTGGTGTCAGAAGTGGGGTCCATTGACGTGGTGCGTGTAGTCGGGCCCTAATGGGTGCGGATTCGGTGGGGTCGCCACAGCTGGTACATGCATCCATCGCATCTTAAGCCGTTCTTTTTGTCCCCCCTTAGTCCGGGCCGGTTGTGTGAGGTGTCCGGCGAGTCGGGTTGCGTGCCTGCTGATGCGGAGCTACAGTGGAAGCCCTTGCCCCTTTCCCTAGGCGCCGCACGACTGATGCCTGCGCCGGCGCCATTGACGTCGGCTCCACCGCACCAAGCCAGGAGGAGCTCCCCCGCCCCCCCGGACACCCGACCCGAACAACCCCGTGCCATATTGCCATCACCGGCACCCTCGAGTCCCACCGCCTTAGGGGAGGCCGCTCCCGTTGGCGGCCCGGCCATGAGGACCAAGTCCAGGACTCATAGATTTTCCTGATCCCCGACTCGCTTACGCGCCCCACACACACTTCACATTGAGTCAAGCACACTTTGCTCCTTCTTGTTGACCTTAATTGCTTTCTTTTGGGGTACATTTGTTCAGTGAGCCCGGGGGTCGCTTGTTCACGGATCATTGCCTCGCCTTTTCGTTTGATTAGCGGTTTTGTAAAGTGTAAATTTGTACAGATGGGTTAGGGTATTTATGGCGGGTCGCTTACCTTCCTTCTTGTTGTTGCTTTTGCTGTTACAGTAAAACTTTGGATTGCGAGTAACTTAGTCTGCGAGTGTTTTGCAAGACAAGCAAAAATCTTAAATAAATTTTCACTTGATAAACGAGCGAGGTCTTGCAATACGAGTAGTTACTTATACGCTTTGTCTGCCAAGCGTCACGTGATCACAACTGAGCCAATGGTTCTTCTCTCTCTCTCGCTGCGGGATTGTGGGTAATCGTCTCCCATGCTCGGTTTCAGTCGGCGTGCCTCAATTGTATAGTCAACATCCGTGCGAGCGTATGCTGTTTACTATAGTACGAGCGATGAATCTGTTTAACGACAATGCAATGTCACATTTCCGCGAAATCCTCAAGAGGAGGCATAAGCAAGTGTCATTGCATTGGTTCTTTGTTAAAGTCGCACAAAAAGAAAAATATTCAAGTGAGTCAACAGATGGCAGTGATTCCGTTAGTGACAGTGAAAGTCGTCCTACACAATAACCCTCCTCCTCTAATCTCTCTCGTCTCCCTCACACCAGCCAGGATACAATTTAATGAATAAATTTGATTACTTTATATTAAATGTAAATAATAAAAATATTAAAAGGTATTTTGTATTAATAATTTTTACATGAATATTTTTGGGTTGTGTAACGAATCATCTGAGTTTCCATGATTTCTTATGGGGAAATTCGCTTTGATATACGAGTGCTTTGGATTACAAACACGTTTTCGGAACAAATTATGCTCGCAATCCAAGGTTTTACTGTATATTTGTTCCTGTTGAGGCTTGCGTACCTTGTTCATTAACTTGTCCTTTGGGATTGTTGCCAGCAGGGACGGTTGAGTGCTATGGAGGGGGGTGGGGGGTGATGTTGCGCCATAACAAGGCACTGTAGGTCGCTTTAGCTGCCACCACGCTCACGGGCCGACAGGGGACAGCCGAGTGAGAGAACGAGGTGTGTAGGGGTTGACCGAAGGTAAAACCCCCCTCGGGTGGCCCGTGAGCGGAGGTTGACACCCCAGACCCCCAAGGGCTGGGAGCTGGGGGGGATAGAGACCGCCAACCAATTTTAAGACCCTTTAAGATTTTAGACCCTTTAAGAAGGTTCTGGAGGGGGGGTCATTAGGGGAGGGGTAAGCCCCGACCTGGGGATAAAGAGCCGGCCTTCTGAACGGGTCCGGCAGTGTTCGCCAACTCAAGCCTGAAGACATCCAAGACCTGAAGACTGGACCAGTACCCGGGGACCCTCAACCGAGGCTCTTGTCAGAGCCGGGTTGTAGCGGACCAGTGGTGGGACCCGTACCCTGGCTGGGTCGGGTCGGTCTAGGCTCCCTTAGCGGCCGTGGCAAGTGACCTGGGTGTAGAGTAGCCCGGGGTGTGTAGGACCCACTAGGAGGGAAGCTGTATCTCCCTTAGGCTATCGGGTTGAAGGGGCCGTACCCCTTTGTGTTACAGTCGCTGTTTGTAGAGTTGTTGAAATAAACGCGTTGCCTCCAGAAGCCGTCTCCGTGTAGTTAGTTAGACACACAACAGTATTATCCGGCTATGTAGCAACTTTTTAAAATTACAATTACTTTACTATGCAAGTTAAACATTTGTGTGCTTTAATATTTAGGAGTTTTATTTATTTATTTAGAGACCCCTTCATCTTACAGAAGACAAGCCGATGGTCAGCGAGCAGATCAGCTCCACGGTAGGTTCTGGTGTCAAGGAGATGGACCTGCATCCACTGTTCCGTCACTATATAGCCCAGCAGATGTTCTTGCGTGCATCCATGATGTCGTGTGGATGCGCCGATACAAGCCCATGGGTTGTACAGAAACGTAGCAGTCTCCTGCCATTGCTAGTAAGCTGATCTGGCCGATGCCTTCCAATCACTCCAGCCCAGGTGCCTGCGTCATGATCCACCTCGGACATAAAGTCACACAACAGGATAACTGTTTTCCGAGGGGCCACTTTAGCCAGCACATGGGACAGGTCACGGAGGGCATCTGTATCCCTCGATTCAGAATCTTTATTGAGACTGGAGGAAGTGGATGAGCTATGAAGCTTTTTGTCGCAGATGTCCAGTATCATTGATGTCCAACTTCTATCGGTGCATAAGCCACCACCGGTGGCCTTCCCCCGAGGTTGACTCGGGCTCAAATGTGTAATCTGGTGCGGTGGCGCGTGGCTGGCAAACGTCGCCGCCGGGGGAGGCAAAGGCGGGAGGGGGGGTGCTGCCCCCACAACCCCCTCGCGTCGATAGTGCCGGCCTTCATAGGCGCTGCTACTCATCAACAGCACTTGCTCTCAACATTCTGTTACAGGCTACACAGAGGGGGGGGGGGATCTTTGTCCAGCACAAGCTTGGTTGGGTTCATTTACTTTGGGTCTTTCTGTAAAGTCACGTAGATAGGTTCAAAAAGTAAAATGAACAAAACAGGACCCTGCGGGGTGGGCTGGTAGGAACGAATAACCAAAGAATATAAACATAATGTATTATTACACTTGTTTAGCCAGGAAAGCCCCACTGAGTCTAAAGGTTTTTGTAGGATCCTGCCAAGTGTTTGCAGTAGGGGGCGATGTTGCTATACCTAATCGGACGATACGAAGGGAGACTTTGAGGCCTAGTTCTAGGCTTTAGGCCTAGCTGTAGGCTTTAGGCCTAGCTGTAGGCGTTAGGCCGCTGTGAGTTAATTTTTAGTTTAAATGTTTTAATTATTTATGTAAAAGCTTTAAATGTAAATGTTTCTATTTAAAAACATCAGGGAATGTAACATTGTTAAACATTAACTCCCTTTCACACACGCGGGGGTACGATACGAAGGGAGAGTGAGGCCTATTTCTAGGCTTTAGGCCTAGCTGTAGGCTTTAGGCCGCCGTGAGTTAATTTAAAATTTAAATGTTTTTATTATTTATGTAAAAGCTTTAAATTTAAATGTTTCTATTTAAAAGCATCAGGGAATGTAACATTGTTAAACATTAACTCCCTTGCACACACGTGGGGGTACGATGCGAAGGGAGAGTTTGAGGCGTAGTTCGAGGCTTTAGGCCTAGCTGTAGGCTTTAGGGCGCTGTGAGTTAAATTTTAATTTAAAAGCTTTAATTAAAAGCTATTTCAGGGAATTATAAGGGAATGTTACACTTGTTTAGCCAGGAAAGCCTCATTAATTTAAATGTTTTAATTAAAAGCTATCTGAGGGAATTATAAGGGAATGTTACACTTGTTTAGCCAGGAAAGCGTCACTGAGTCTAAAGGTTTTTGTAGGGTCAGTGCCAAGTGTTTGCAGTAGGCGGCGATGTTGCTACACGGATGGATGGACGGACGATATAATCTATTGTAGGCTGGTCCACTTCGTTCCTACCAGTAAAACTACGACGTATCGATCGCAACACAAGCGACCGTCGTCAGGTTTGATCATACGTGTTATGTATATAGTGTATTGTTCAATTTAAATCACAGTTCCTATGATTACTGTTGTTACATTGTTATAGCTTTATTTTAGTGATTTGAAAACATATGGTTAATCTAAATTGTCTTATGGTTGTTGTTGTTGTTGGCTTGCACCACATTGTTATTTTTTCACACAGCGTTTTAATACTTTTTTGGGGGGGGGGGGGGGCAGGATATTTGCTGGTTTATTCCAGGATGTTTCTGTTACGCGTCATCGCTTTGGGATGTTCTGTGTTCATATTTTGTTTGTTGCGGTTGCACCCGACTCAAGAGCCGCATGGCTCACAGGGCTATACCTAATAAATGAAACTTGAAATAAATAAAACTTGAGGTGGGGGAAAAACAGGTCGCTTGTGTTGAGATCAATACGTCGTAGTTTTTAAAAAGTTTTTAACCCATCTACGTGACTTTACAGAAAGACCCAAAGAATATGAATTCCTGCAGTCACGAAAGCTTCAAGTCAAGACCTGGATTGGGTTGTTTCCACCGTGATGGTTTGGTATGAATTAAGTTTCCAGGAGGAGGAGGGGGGGGGCTTAACCCAGCCCCTCGCTCGCATCATTGCACGATCATGACCACCGCCACCACCGCTGCGAGTCATATCATGGTGTTTAATACATACCATATTGTTTACAACGCACGCGTGCCTGTGTGTGTGTGTACACGTGTTCGCACGCGCACACGTGTACACACATGCGCGCGTGCGCGCACAGCTGACAAGAGAATACACGAACCCAATGGCGTCCATATACACTAGTGTGAGTGTGTGTACGTGCGTGTACGTGAGAGCGCGCGCGAGTAAATGTATGGACATGTGTATGTATGTATATATAGGTGTATGTACATATATGTGTACATGTGTATATATGTTCATGTATATATCTGCATACATGTCTGTGTGTATATATGAGTATATATGTCTGTATTTTATATGCATGTATACATGTGTGTGTATGCATGTGTGGTATTGAAGTGTATGTATGTGTGGTATTGGTATGTGTGTATCTGCGTATGTACAGGGTGCTTCTAAAATGTTTTCATTCTTCTGAAAATTTGCAACAACACCACAAGAAAGGCGTCTCCGGGCTCTGGAGACCACCTGGAACAAGATTCCAGGCACGCGTTGACAATGATGGCGGACAAGTGGAGATTGACTTCATGAAGCTATTCACATTACATTTGTTATCATGTTACAGAGTGTATGATCCGTTATTTTCCCCTTAAAAACGATAGTCCTATATAAGTGTTAACATTTATTTTAAGCATCCTGTATATATGTGCATGAATGTGTATCTGTATGTGAATCTGTGTATCTGTGTGTGTACTGTATGTGCATCTGTATGTGGATCTGTGTATCTGTGTGTGTATCTGTGTGCATGCCGTGTGTCCTTGTCCTGTGTGTACACACGGCGTCTGTACGTTCATACAAACCCCAAATTCACGACGACGACGACGACAACAACAACATCGACATCACCACCACCATCAGCAGCATCATCAACACTGATTTTGTTCAAAGCAGGCAAATAGCAGATCCCGTTCCAATAGATAAGTCTCCTCTCGGCACACCAAGTCCATCATAGCTACTCATTCACATCTCTCCTTCCGTGTCTCCTCACGGCACGCCAAGTCCTGTACCCTCGAACCCAACTCTTCTTCTGTGCGTATGCACGGCACATTACGCCCAGTCTCCTCCTGGGGCATACAACCTCCAGGCTACTCATCCCCATCACTTCGTGTGTGTGTGTGTGTACCCGGTACAGCATGTCCAGGCTACTGATCCACATCTCCCCTTCCATGTCTTCTCCCGCCATACCACGTCAAGTATAGATCCTCAACCATTTCCCGTTCTGTGTGTCATGCATGGCACACCAGGTCCATTCTCCTGCGGGCACACGATGTCCGGTATACTCCAATGCCTCTCCTCCTCGTCTCTATCCCCCATCTCTCTCTCTCTCCGTGTCTGTCTCTCACTCTCCATGTCTGTCTCTCTCTCCCCATGTATCTCTCACCGTGTCTCTTTCCCCATCTCTCTCTTCCCTTGCCTCTCTCCCTCTCCGTGTCTCTCTTTCTCCGTGTGTCTCGCTCTCTCTCCGTCTCTCTATCTCTCTTCCTCCTCCTCTCCTATATATTAGGCTATATCTTTATGTTATAATAGTTGTAGATTTGAGTGAAGCCATCTCTCTCTCTCTCTGTGTCTCTCTCTCTCTCTCTGTGTCTCTCTCTCTCCATCTCTCTCTCTTTTCCAACCTCTGACCTACGGCCTCTGGGTCTCTGTTTCTCTTCGGGGCAGAGTTCAAGAGAGTTCAAGAGGCATAGCTCCTGGTCGCAGTAGAAATCTGCGGAAGTTCCGACGAAGCAGAACCCCGCAGAGGCTCCAACGAGGCGGAAATCCGCGGAAGGCCTGACGGAACAGAAATCCGTGGAGGCTCCGATGAGGTGGAAATCCACGGAAGCCGAGGAGGGATTCCTCCGGGGTTTGAAGGCGTGGGATGTGAAGAGAGCGAAGGGTGAGACCTGGGGGAGAGAGAGACAGATGAGAGGTAGCAAAGAGGGGGAGTGGAGAGGAATGGGTGATGAGTGGGTGAGTGAATGGGTGAGTGGGTGAGTGAATGGGTGAGTGGGTGAGTGAATGGGTGAGTGAATGGGTGAGTGGGTGAATTAGTGAGCGGGTGGGTGAATGGGTGAGTGAATGGGTGAGTGGGTGGGTGAGTTGGTGGGTGAGTGAGTGAGTGGGTGTTAGTGAGTGGGTAGGTGAGTTTATGAGTGGGTGAGTGAATGGGTGAGTGGGCGAGTGAATGGATGAGTAGGCGAGTTAGTGAGTGGGTGAGTAGGCGAGTGGGTGGGTGAGTGAATGTGAGTCAATGGGTTAGTGGATGAGTGGATAGATGAGTGGGTGAGTGGATAGATGAGTGGGTGAGTGAGTGGCTAAGTAGGTGAGCTAGTGGATGAGTGGGTGAGTTAGTGAGTGGGTGAGTTAGTGAGTGGTTGAGTGAGTAGGTGAGTGAATGGATGAGTGGGCAAGTTGTTGGATGGGTGAGTGGATGATTGAGTAAGTGGCTGAGCAGATGGATGGGTGAGTAAGTGGATGAGTGAGTGGTTGGCTGAGTGGATGAGTGGTTGGGTGAGTGGGTGGATGAGTGTGTGGGTAGATGAGTGGGTGGGTGAGTGAGTGGGTCAGTAGTGAGTGAGTCACCACCTGTGTCTCAGGGCTGGGATCCAGGTGAGGGACAGGATGAGGAGGAGGAGGCCGAGGCTCAGGCCCCAAACCAAGATGACCACCGGCGGCACAGCCTCAGGGTGACGCCTGGAGTCTAGGCCTGATACAGGAGGGTTCAGCAGCCAATTAACATCTTTATCAGCAAAATCATTATCAGCAAAATCAGCAGCTGCGTGTGTCTACAATGCTGATGATGCTGATGATGATGCCACTGATGATGATGCCGGTGATGATGACACTGCTGCTGATGCTGATGATGCTGCTGATGATGCTGATACTGTTGAAGATGATGTCGTTGATAATGATGGTGATGCTGCTGATGCTGCTGATGATGCTGACGAAGCTGTTAAAGCTAATGATTATGAAGACGATGCCGACACTGACGATGTCTGTATTTTGAACTTCTTTCGCACCGTATGTAGCCAGCCACGCTAATCAGAGTATTTCGGGAAGGACAACGAACTAAATATCAAGGAATTCGTTTTCAATCGAGATGATTTAAAAGTGCATAGCTCCAGTCTCTAACAAATAATGCTGCTGATGATGATGCTGGTTATGATTCTGCTATGGTGCTGATGCTGCTGATCATGATGAGGCTGATGTTGCTGCTGCTGGTGATGCTACCGATGATGACGCTGCCGGTGATGATGCTGTTGATGATGATGCTGCTGATGGTGCTGATGAAGCTGCTGATGATGCTACCGATGATGATGCTGCCGGTGATGGTGCTGCCGGTGATGGTGCTGCCGATGATGATGCTGCCGATGATGCTGCCGATGATGATGCTGCTGATGATGCTACCGATGATGGTGCTGCTGGTGATGATGCTGCTGATGATGCTGCTGGTGATACTGCTGATGATGATGATGATGCTGCTGATGCTGCTGCTGCTGATGGTGCTGATGATGCTACTGGTGATGATGGTGCTGATGAGGCTAGTGATGCTGCTGCTAATGATGATGGTGCTCACCGGCGCTGCGTTTGAGCCGTGTTGGGGTCGTCTGCTGCTCACAGCGCTGACCCGAAAACCCAGCCCGGCACCTGCAGGGTCATCATCGGGTCAAGGGGTCATGAGAGAGAGCGCGGGGGTCATAAAAGACGTAGGGATTAGAAAGAGAGTGAAGTGATGCATGTGGACAATCTCTCTCCCTTCTCGTGTCCCTCTCCCGTGCCTCTCTCTCCCCCGTGTCCCTCTCTCCCCCGTGTCACTCTCTCTCTCCCCGTGTCTCTCTCCACGTGTCTCTCTCCCCGTGTCACTCTCTCTTTTTTTTCGATCAGAGGAAACAAGAAGATGCTCGGTGTATTCGGCACTTTGCTTCGTTCATCATTTCGGTTTTTTTTAATGCTTTGCTTTGCTTTGCGTACTCCCCCCCCCTTTTAAATGAAAGATTTAACAAAATATTTTTCACTCACCTCTCCTTACCCCTTCCTTTTCTCTCTACCCCCCCTCTCTGTCCCCCCTCTCTCTGAACCCCCTCTCTTCCTACTCCATGTCGCTCTCTCGCTCACTCTCTCACTCTCTGTCGCTCTCTCTCTCCCCGTGTCTCTTTCTCTACCCGTGTCTCTCTCCCCTTTGTGCGTCTATTTCTACCCCCGTGTCTCTCCTCGTGTCTCTCTCTCTCCGTGTCTCTCTCTCCCCCGTGTCACTCACTCTCTCTCTCTCTCCCCGTGTCTCTCTCCCCGTGTCTCTCACTCCCCGTGTCTCTCACTCCCCGTGTCTCTCTCCCCGTGTCTCTCTCCCCCCGTGTCTCTCTCCCCCCGTGTCTCTCTCTCTGCCCGCGTCTCTCTCTCCCCGTGTCTCTCTCTCCCCGTGTCTCTCTCTCTCCCCGTGTCTCTCTCTCTGCCCGCGTCTCTCTCTCCCCGAGTCTCTCTCTCCCCGAGTCTCTCTCTGCCCGCATCTCTCTCTCCCCTTTTCTCTCTCTCTCCCCGTGTCTCTCTCGCCCCATGTCTCTCTCGCCCTGTGTCTCTCTATCTCTCCGTGTCTCTCTCTCCACGTGTCTCTCTCTCTCCCCGCGTCTCTCTTTCTCCCCGTGTCTCTCTCTCCCCGTGTCTCTCTCTCTCCCCGTGTCTCTCTCTCCCCGTGTCTCTCTCTCTGCCCGCGTCTCTCTCTCCCCGTGTCTCTCTCTGCCCGCGTCTCTCTCCCCTTTTCTCTCTCTCTCCCCGTGTCTCTCTCGCCCCATGTCTCTCTCGCCCTGTGTCTCTCTATCTCTCCGTGTCTCTCTCTCCACGTGTCTCCCTCTCTCCCCGCGTCTCTCTTTCTCCCCGTGTCTCTCTCTCTTTGTGTGTTTCTCTCACATGCACGAGAGTCCCGTGACTTCAGCTCCTTGCACCCTCTGGCAGGTTCCTCCGTTGAAGCAAAACCCGTGCTGGAGTTTCGGTTCGCAGGGATGGAGGTGCCCCGTGCCTGGACACAGGAGACAAGGGGGGTGGGGAGGGGGGGGAGAGACAGAGTGAGACATCGGGAGAGATGGGGGGGAGATGGGGGGAAAGAGCAACATGGGGGAGAGACACGGGGTGGATAGAAAGAGACAAGGAGTGGATGGAGAGAGACACAGGGACATAGGGGCATGGAGAGATAGATATAGGTGGGTAGATTGGAGGGAGACACGGGGGGGGGGGGGAGGGGTTAGAAAGACACGGGGGTAGAGAGACATGGGGAGAGACACAGTGAGAGAGAGACAAAGGGAGATACATGGGTGGGTAGGTAGGATGGAGGGAGATAGAGATACACGGGGAGACATGGGGATAGGGCAACAGAGAGACTCAATAATTGATTGGCAGCTACTCATCTGCCAGTTCATGTTCTAAGATTCACACAAACAAAGATCCCCCGTATAGTCTTATAAAAGCTGTTGGGGCAAGTGCTGTTAATGAGTAGCAGTGTCTATGAAGGCCGGCACAACACACGAGGGGGCGGGTGGCCAGTATCACACCCGATCGCCTTTGTCTCCCCTGTAGCGATGAAATTCTCACTTGCAACTTTCATCAGCTAGCCGAGAAAGGTGCATTGAAAAATGTTGATACTCCGGCTGATGCTCCTGCTGTTGTGGAGTGACTCATGCAGCCAGCTGTGGCTGCAGGGTTTGGTGGTACATTTGTTTATGTCGTTTATTGTGAAAATTCGGTCACAGTTCCTATGATCACTGTTACATTGCTTTTATGGCTTTATTTGGTGATTTCGAAAAGTTTTTTGGTTTGGCCATGTTTGTTTGTTGTAATACGGAGTTAGAATGATGGCCTTAATCTAAGTTGTCTTGTGGTTGTTGTTGTTTGACTTGCATCCCACTGGGATTTTGCACACAGCGTTGGTGTACTGTGCTTTTTCTGCAATATTTGATGTCTTTTCTTGGATTTTCTGTTTGCACATAGTCACATAGTCACATATTCACTTTAAGATGTTTTTTTGTTCATGTTTTTGTTTTTTGTTTGTTGCGGCTGCACCCGATTCAAGAGCCGAATGGCTCACAGGACTATACCAAATAAATGAAACTGAGACCAGGCCACTGTGGGTTATAAATCATAGATGGGCACCCATCACCACAGTGGAAGAATGGCAGGTACATCTTAAAGATGACAAGCCAAAGGTCCATGGGCAGATGAGCTCCAGGGTAGGTCCTGGTGTCAAGGACATGTGCCCAAGCCCACTGGTCCATCACTTTATAGTCTAGCAGATGTTCTTGCTTGGACCCAGCGTGCATCCATGATGTTGTGTAGATGTGCTAATGTCGGAACAGCGTTGGTGATTAAAAGCCCATTGGATGCACAGAATTCTAGCAGCCTCCTATCGTTATATGTTGTTGAGCTGATCTGACTTATGCCTTCCAATCACTCCAGCCCAGGTGCCCATTTCATGACCCTCTCGGGCATTAAAGTCCCACACTCACACTCTCACACACACTCACGCACACATAACAACCGCCATTAGCCAATAAGTGACGGTGACATCACGATGGCTCTTGTGCACGCTGAAGCCACGTGAAATGTCGAACACCCGCTGGCAGGAGGTCACGGGGCAGACCCAGGTGCCACGGGCACCACCTATGCTCCGTACTGTGCCAATGCACACATAATCACACACTTATATACAACAACCGCCATTCGCCACTAAGTGGCGGTGACGTCACTACAAGGCTTGTGCCGGGCTATGTGCACGTTGAGGCCACGTGAAGTGTCAAACGCCCGCTGGCAGGAGGTCACGGGGCAGACCCAGGTGCCACGGGTCCACTGACTGAGATGACTGACTGATGTACCAACCGTGCCCCCTACTGTGACAACTTGCTGTCCTTGAGCCACCCGGCGCTCTGCTCATTGTTGTGAGCATCACTCCTCCGCCCTCCGTTCTTGTTGGAAGGTGACTGCCTCCAACTGCCCAATAGCATCCTTCATGAGCCTCCTCCACAGACGCCGAATTTGACACCGCTGGTACCAGTCATCGGCAAATCCACTCAGCTCCACATCCTCTTATACCACATCACTTAATCTCTTCTCTAGCCCGTGCCACGCCCATTTAGCCCCCTCTATCCGTCTGAAAAAAAGCTGTTTAGGCATGCGGTGGCTGGGCATGCGGGCTACATGACCCAACCAACGCAGCCTTGCCTGCCAGAGGAACTCACCGATGGAACTTTGTCCAGATCTTTAAAGGATATGTGAGCTCCTCACACAATACAGCCTAGTGACCTAGGATAGATTGTAGGCACGCCAGTCTGAATGTTTCCAACCGGCGAAGATGTTCCATTAGGGGGGGGTCCACGTTTCGCAGGCATAGAGAAGGGAGGGAATGACTGTGGCCGAGAAGACCTGAAGCTTTGTGCGGAACGCCAGACCATGTCGCTTCCAAACAGCGTGATGTAACCGATGAAAAGATAATCTTGCTCGACTATTTTAGCGTGAGACCTCTGTTATCAAACCGGAGCTGGTCATAAGCACATTACCCAGGTATGGGGAACTCTCCACTCTCTCCACAACTGCCCCATCACCAATTGGGAGTTGTGGGGGTGGAGTGTCCCGTGGTACAAAATACCCAGGCAGGTGTTTAGTTTTGGTGGGGCTCTTAGTAGCAAGCGCCAGGTTCAGCAGCAGCGCCTCAAACTCCTCCTCTGAGTGAGAAGCAATTACCAGATCATTGGCATACGTAACATAGTTGACCAATAGGGAGCCATCCCTTGACCGCACCCGGGAATCGACCAGCCCCTCCCATTGTATCTGTACCACATATACTCACACACACCTCACACTCACACACCTGGCACTCGCACACACACTTCTCACACACACCTCACAAATAATAGTAATGTTGCGGACCGAAGACAATTCTGTGGCGCGGAGCCGAGCTCAGTGTCAGATTGCGTCGCACGGTCACAGGGAGACTCGATGGTTATATGTCGAGCTGAAGAGATGCTGAGCCTTTAGATGGTCTTTGAACGACGAAAACGACTGATCGTTACGGATGTGAATATGGAAAAATGTCGTTGCAAATGACAGTGGGGGCTGCAACGGAGAAACGACGAGAAGCAATTACAGTCCTTGTCCACGGAGTTCCATGGAGGTTCTGCGACGCACTGCGAAGGTTTCTACGATGCATTGAAGTGTGCGAGGCGTCAGCAGAGAACTTGGGTACGGTGGGTTTTAGGGCGCGGTAGCAGAGGCAAGCGATCTTGAAGGAAATTCTGGTCGGAATGGGCAGCCAACGAAGGGCACGAAGGATGGACAGGTATTCAGGGCGTAGACAACTCAGTCAATGTGATTTTTGAAGCGTTTGCAGATTTTTTTGGTTGCTTAGAGCAGACCGGACGAGGACCGATTTGCAATAGTCGAGCCGCAGCCCAACAATGCTGCAGGCAAGAGCATTTGCGATGTCGTAGATGATGGGTGGACGTAGATAGCGGAGGGCACTGAGATAGTAGTTGCAGGACTTGAGAACGAGGTTGACGTGGGTGTCGAAGGAGAGAGTGGAATCCAGAGTGACGCCGAGAAATGTCACACCTCACACTCACAGCAGCACCGACACGAAACACATTGCGGTGTAACTCAGGAGAGAAATCTCTCTCCGTGCTCTCTCTAATCTTTACAGCTCCCCCGGCACTTTCCCCTTTCCCTCTCCGCCCCTCTCTCTTAAATCTCCCTGAATCTCCATGGCTTTCTATATAATCCCCGCTCATCCCTCTCTCTTAACTCTCCCTGCCTCTCCTGATATATCTCTCTCATCCCACTCTCCATCCCCTCTCTCGTAATTCTCCCATTTTCATCCCTCGCTCTCTTGAATCCCTCTCCGGCATCTCTCTCCCTCCGTCCACTCTCCCCTTCAAAGCCCTGCTGCTCTCTCTTAAATCTCCCTCTAGCTTTCTGTGCCTCTTCCTCCTGTCCGCTGGTCTCTCTCTTAAATCTCACTGTACTCTCCATGGCTCTCAGTCCTCTCCCTCCCTTGAATCTATCCCTTCCACATCCCCTGCTCTCCCTTTCCTCTCCCCGCTCTCTCCTCTCCCCATCTATCCTCTCACACTGCTCTCTCCTACCCCAGCTCTCGCATCTCTCCCTGCTGTCTTCTCTCTCCCCTCTCTCTCCTCTCTCCCTGCGCTCTCTCCCCACTCCCAAGAGATCTGCGCAGCCGAAGACCCCAGAATGACAAATGCCTCCGTTCCTACATCTCCTTCCACTCCCCCTTCTCTCTCTCCCACTCTCCCTCTCATCTGCTCTCTCTCTTCCTTCTCCACCTCCTCCCTCTCTTCTTGCTCTCCCTTCTCTCTGTCCCTTTCTTCCTTCTCTGTCCCTCCTCTCTCTTCTGTCCTCCCTTTCTCCATCTCCTCCCTCCCCTCCCAATCTCCCTTCTCTCTCCTCCCACTCTCCCCTCGCTCTCCCCCCTCTCCTCCCACTCTCCATCCTCCGTCTCCCCCCTCTCCTCCATCTCCCCCTTCTCTCCCTTCTCTCTCTCCTCCCACTCTCTCCCCCATCTCCTCCCTTTCTCCATCTTCTCCCTCGCTCTCCCCCTCCCTCCCTCCCTTATAAATGTGGGCTCTGTGCGGGTCTCCTGGGAGGTCCATGTGCATTCACCATTAGCATCGCCGTTCAATAGAGACCGGTGCCTCTCTCTCCCTCTCTCCCCCCACACGTACACAGCCTGACTCATTGCATCTATGCACACACTCGTATATGCACACACCTCTATAAAAACAAAGATCCTCAACAGTCTGTTGGGGAAAGTGCTGTCAGCGAGTCGCGCCTATGAAGGCCGGCATGGTCCGTATTGGGTGTGGGTGGCCAGCGTCACGCTCGATTACATTTATCTCCCCAGTGGGCGATGTTTACACACTGCACCAGGTACTCATTTGAGGCTGAGTCGAGCTCGGGGAAGCCCAGGACCGGTTCAGATAATCACTATCACTGGTGTTGGCCATGAGCGCGAATCGA